TTGGAAGTTTTCTAACTTGCAACACTTCAAAGGAAAAAGCAGTTGGGGAAAGGGTTTTAACGAGTAGTAAACACATGCTAGGGTTAGTGTGAGTCTCAGAGTAAATTATCTACATGCAGGAGTCAGGGGAAAGTGGGGAAGAAAAAGCAGCCGAATTCTTCCACAGGCGAATCTGAGGACAGGGCTTTTACATTCCTAGGGCGGGCCAGTAACTAAGACCACCAGATCAATGAGTTTTCAATTATGTGATCTGGGGGTCGGGGAGAGTGGACAGAGCACATTCCCAAGTAACTGTAACCCCAAGCCAGGAGATAATGGACAGCTGGGATATGCAGAGAAGGTCAATGGGAAGTCCAGGTGGAGACTTCACAACTCTTTGGAGGGTCATGGAAGGCTGATACAGAGCTTTGGATACAGAGCAGAGGAGAGCTTTGGAAATTCTTTCTAAAGATGGAGGGTAATTTTGACAGAGGGTCCATTTAATGTGGAAGAAGTTTCAGTGAGAAAGTGGTGATTCTTTTAGACATGGTCATTCTACACCTCCATAAACCACTTGGCCACCTTTCAGATCCCTTTTACATGCGCTCCCTCCTCCCATGTTTGCTCATTGACTCCCGGTTCAACCTACCGCAGAATCTGTGAGATGGATGAAGATTGTTTCCTCATCTTCAGTTAAAAACTCACATTTCTTTCTTTATGAAATGTGTATCTTCCAAAAGCCACTTAAATTTATTTAACCATGCTAGCTCAGTTGAATTACAGTACTGCCAGTGGGTTTACTCTGCATTGCCTTTGGTTATAAATTCTTCTGACTTCGTAATTCCCAAGTCAGATATGAAACATTAATAAGAATATACATAAAAATCAGGCCAGATGCAGTGGCTCAAGCTTATAATCCCAGCACTTTGGGAAGTCAAGGTAGGAAGATCACTTGAGGCCAGGAGTTGGAGACCAGCCTGTGAAACATAGTAAGACCTCATGTCTACAAAATTAAAAAATTAGGCCGGGCGCAGTGGCTCATGCCTATAATCCCAGCACTTTGGGAGGCCGAGGCGGGTGGATCACAAGGTCAAGAGATCGAGACCATCCTGGCCAACATGGTGAAACCCCATCTCTACCAAAAATACAAAAAAATTAGCTGGGCATGGTGGCACACGCCCGTAGTCCCAGCTACTTGGGAGGCTGAGGCAGAAGAATTGCTTGAACCCAGGATGCGGAGGTTGCAGTGAGCTGAGATCGCGCCACTGCACTCCAGCCTGGCACCTGGTGACAGAGTGAGACTCTGTCTCAATATTAATAATAATAATAATAATAATAATAATTAGCCAAGCATGGTGAGATGCCCCTGTAGTCCTAGCTATTCAGGAGGCTGAGGCAGGAGGGTTGCTTGAGCCCAGGAGCTCAAGGCTGCAGTGAGCAACGATCACACGTCTGCACTGCAGCCGGGGCAACAGAGTGAGTGCCTGTCTCAAAAAAAGAATATATAATAAAATCAGACCAATTACTTCACATGGGATTGGAAGTCTTTGGTGGACTCTGTCCAACTAATCTAGTCAACATTTCCCCCCTTAACTAAGAAGCAGCCTTGGCTCTCAGGTCAAGAAATGACAGGTGTAAAATTAATCAGTCTATAGAAATAAACATAGTTAATGTATTTGTGGGACACCTTCTAGTCCAATGAGCTTTAGTATTTGGAAAATCCCTTCAGCATTGAGAGCCTTGAGAAGAAAGAGCAGTAGCTGAGACCTCTAGGAACATTTTTACATCAAATGTATAGATTATATTTGTTATTTTAAAAACATCTTTTTATAACAAATGAACAGTTATTACACATGTAATACATGTACACATCACTGAAAGGAAGAACAATTGAAGATGATTTCATATTAATTGTTCTCATATTTTAGACATTGACCATCTTCTAAGCAAACCTGGTACTTCTTTCACGTTTTTGGTTACAGTGTTTATTTCAGGAGATTGTTCACCTCACTGAACCAGGACACACATCCACATGGTAAATGCTCAGGCAGAGGTAAGCTCCCTAACACCCATGGCAATGATAGCACAGAAACCAGACAAAACCCAGAGTTGAGCTGGCTATTGGCTATTAAAACCTAAGTCAATATTGTGTACCATGCAGAGGTACAAGAAGGCAGGAAAGGGCAGGACAGGTGTAGTACTGAGACATTGGAAGTCATTCCCATAAGAGGAAACCAGGATCAGAAAGGGGCTAAACTTGGCTGTATTCTCATTCCACAAATTGCTAGCTGTACTGTCTTGGGCAGTTATTTTACCTTTTGAAATCTTGGCTTTTTATTTTGTTTATTTATTTTATTTTTTATTATATTTTAAGTTCTGGGGTACATGTGCAGATCATGCAGGATTGTTACGTAGGTATACACATGCCATGGTGGTTTGCTGCATCCATCCCCCCATCAACTACATTAGGTTTTTCTCCTAAAGTTATCCCTCCCCTATGCCCCCACCCCCTGTTATGCCTCCCGTAGCCCCCCACCTCCCAACAGGCCCCAGTGTGTGATGCTCCCCTCTGTGTGTCCATGTGTTCTCATTGTTCAACACCCATTTATGAATGAGAACATGAGATGTTTGGTTTTCTGTTCTTGTGTCAGTTTGCTGAGAATGATAGTTTCCAGCTTCATCCATGTCCCTGAAAAGGACATGAACTCATCTTTTTTTATGGCTACATATTCCATGGTGTATATGTGCCACATTTTCTCAGGTATTTCTTCATCTGTGAGTATTACAGACTAATACAGCTGGGTAATTTATAAAGAAAAGAAGTTTGCTTGGCCCACAGATCTGCGGACTGTTCAAGAAGTGTGACACTGGCATCCATCTGCTTGCCTTCTGGTGAGAGCTTGCCTACTCAAGGCTGAAAGCAAAGGGAAGCCCTGTGTGCAGAGACAACATGCAAAAGAGAGAGAGAGAAAAGGCTGTTGGCGGTGTGCCAGGCTCTTTCTCTTTTCCTTTTGGTCTATTTGTTTGTTTCTTTCTTCCTTTTTGAGATAGGTTCTCACGGGAGTGCAGTGGCATGATCATAGCTCGCTGCAGCCTCAAACTCCTGGACTCAAGCAACTTATGTGCCACACACCTGCTGTTTTTTGTTTCTTTTTGGTATTTGTTTGTTTGTTAAGAGACAAGGTATCACTATTTTGCCTAGGCTGGTCTTGAACTGCTGGCCTCAAGCAATCCTTCTGCCTTGCTCCTGGCCTCCCAAATTGCTGGGATTACAGGCATGGGCCATCATGCCCAGCCACAAGGCTCTTTTTAACAAGCTCTCACAGGAACTAATAAAGTGAGAATTCACTCATCCTACACCCTCCCACCCCTGAGAAGGCATCAGCCTATTCATGAGGGATTCACTTCCATGGTCAAAACACCCTCCATTAGGCCCCGCCTCCGACATTTGGGATCCAGTTTCAACATGAGATCTGAAGGGTACAAATATCCAAACTACAGCACCATTTTTATAGTGTCTGCCTCGTAACACAGACTTCAGGCTGGCTCGTTGTTTGTTTGTTTTTCACAGACATTCTTTTCAGCCTATGTGGAGCCCCAAATAATTAAGAGTTTTTATCAGTAAGAACTTACTCTTAGTGGTATATTTTCTACATTTTGGAAGACCTCAAAGACCAAGATTAAGCAAGAACAGATTCTCCTCAGAAATAGGAAGGAAGGGAGGGAGGGAGGGAGGGGGAGAGTCCCAGAGTAAATGGAATAGAGAAACACTTAAGTAGAATGTTCTAAGCCAAGTTTGAAGGAGCTTTTTTTTTTTAATCGAAATGGTAGAATAGCATTTACTCATATTTTTAACAGGTTAAGTTGTGTCAGATTACCAGTATATAGACGTACCTGAGTTGGCTTGCTATTATACCATTTACATCCAAATTTAAACAATACCAAAAAAACCCACTAGTTTAAATCTTACACAAGGTTCACAATTTGCATTCAAGAAGTCTTCACTCGTGTCACCACCATCTCTCCTTCCTCATGTATCTCAGCCTCTATCATGTGCCACTTCCTGGGCATTTACTTAGCACTTGCCCATTTACTGGGCTCTTTTCTTTTCTTTTTAGAGACAGTATGGCATACACAGATCTCTTTTGTGCCTGAACATCACCATCCATGAGTTCTGTAAATGTGGGCATATTTTTTAGTATCTCTAAGTATCAGTCCCCATATGTGTAAAATGAGAGCAGTTCATACTACCTGGCAGAATGGTTGACAGTATTAAGTAAGTTAATGCTACGGAAGCCACGGCTATCGCACGTCGAACACTCAAAACAGGCCAGCTACCATTTTTACTAATAAACTGGAAAGCCATGGAGGCAGAGCCTGTGTTACTAACCTTTTTATACCCCTAGCACCTCTCCCAGTATTCAGTACATGCTCCAAAAATGCTGTGGCAGTGCTCTGGCTTCCAACCATTAGGATATTTCTATTGTTTTTTTAGAAAGTTTTGTTGCTTACTTTCACTGAGGAAATTTACAAGCAGATGTCACATAGAACTTCTTTTTTCCATCACTTACAGAGTCACACAAACACATTCCCACTGCCAACTGGTGCTAGTTAAAACTTATGTACATTTATAAAGGGTGAAACAACTTTCTGAGGGCTACGGCAGTGATAAAAAAGCAGCCTGATGCTAGAAAGCAAGGTGGGGTAGGGAGGGGGGAATTTATATGTATATGTGCCACTGCTTTTCATGGTCTTACAAACTGTAAGTGAGGTGTGAGGAATTCCCTAAAAAACTTACAATTAATATGATTTCCTTCTTCGGGGAAGATACCTTTACCATTCGCTTTATAAAAAGGAATATAACAATGTAGGGTGGGGGGATGGGTCTATACAGTCATAGGCACAGTGATGCCTTAAAGAGCGGATGAGAAGTTGAGTGACTCACACACCCTTGGCCTGGTTTGAGAAGATATCACTAGTGTGATATCACCAAATGTGGCCAATGCACGTCCTCCCCTTACCTGAAGTGGAGACTGTGATTCCATAGCTGCCCTCTGGTCTCCCTTTCTGACCTGCTGAGTAGAGGAGATGCAATGCTTAAATAAGCCACAGACTTAAAAAGCAAAAAAGAAGCACAGCCAAGTGACTAGACTTAAGAATGAAGGCTGCATTGCCCAAAACCATTGCTCTAACCTTACTTAAAGGTGCAGCATATGTGACCTGCCTCAGAAATGGCCCCTGCAAGTGATACCCCACTAACACTACATGAAGGTCTGGCTGGATCAGCCCTCCCTGTGGATCAAGGTTGGCCCATCTGCAAACTGTCCTGTTTCTGACAAAAGGAACAACCTTCCTGGAAGTGGTAACTATTAACCCTTCATGATAACAATGCCTGCCTTAGGGTAAGACTGTAGTTTTAGAAAGACTGTCATATACACATTCCCTTGCTTCTCAAAAGATCTAGGCCATAACCAGAGTCTTCTCCTGGTGGCTCAAAGGGACTCAAGGTTTAGAGCCACTTGATCTCATAGTCTCCCCTGCAGAATTTTCTGACTGGTTACCTTTGTCTTGAAAACTTTTGCCTTCTTTGCCTGAGTGACTAGGTGGTCTGGGTTTTTTTTTTTTAATTACTTTTTTTTTTTGAGACAGAGTCTCGCTCTGGCACCCAGGCTGGAGTGCAGTAACACAATCTCAGCTCACTGCAACCTCCACATCCTGAGTTTAAGAGATTCTCCTGCCTCACCTCCCGAGTAGCTGGGATTATAGGCACCCACCACCATACCCAGCTAATTTTTGTATGTTTAGTAGAGACAGGGTTTCATCATGTTGGCCAGGCAGGTCCCGAACTCCTGACCTCAAGTGATCCACCCTCCTCAGTCTCCAAAAGTGCTGGCATTACAAGTGCGAGCCGTCATGCCCAGCCCCTCTCTTCATTCTCTATTACAGAATGTCTTACAGAACAAAAGTTTTTTTAAATTTGATGAAGTCCAATTTATCATTTTTTCCTACTATGGCTCATGTTTTTTTATGTCAAGTTTAAGAACTCTGTCTGGATCTAAATCTACAAGATTTTCTCCTGCTTTTTTTCTGAATGAGTTTTTTAAGTTTCAGGTTTTACATTTAAACTTGTGATGAAAGATGGAAAACTTTTAGACAATAACTGTTCTACTCTGGTGTAACACCACAGAAGGAAAACAAAACTGTGGTCCCACCTTCGCCCATACCAGCAAAGACTCATGGGAGAGCCTAGACTTTGACCCTTACCAGGTGATAATCAGGCACCCAGTCTCCCTGCCAGGGTGGCAGCAGAGATGCCAAGTAGGAAGCCAGGACTTTAATCCTTTCCAGCCAGTAAAGAGCCTGCTTTCCCCTCCTCTCCTGACCTCCACTGTATCAGTTGAGACAACGTGGGGAGCTTTACTTCTAACCCCACCAGGCAGTAAGGAGGCACTCCTCTTTTTCCCTACTGGGGTGGTGTTGGAGGAGGCGGTGGAGAAGCAGGACTTTCACGATCACACAGTACTACCAAAGTCAGCCTCACTGCAGTGTCAGTGAGGACCACACGGAGAGCTAGAACTCCCACCACAACCCAGCAATCATAAGGAACACTTTTTCCTCAGGCGTTAACTGAGGCTGAGTGGGAAACTTGGGCCTCTACCTCCACTGGTAGTAATAAGGCAATGCCCTCCCTTCCCCTGGCAGTGTGGTATCCAATAAAGCCATTTAAAACAGAAAGTTTAAGACTCGGAGTCCCATAAGGTAACCCAAAAATGTCCAGGTTTCAACAGAAAATCACTTGTCAAGAACCAAGAAGATCTCAAACCGAGTGAGAAAAAAAGCAATCAAAATGTGCCAAAACCAAGATGACAGCAATGCTAGAATTACCCGACAAGAATTTTGAAGCAGCTGTGATAATAATGCTTCATCAATCATGAACATCTTGAAACAAAGGAAACAATAACAAACTCCATCAAAAGAAGAAGAACCAAATGGAAATTTTACAACTGAAAAATACAATAACTGAAAAAGCTCAGTGGATGGTTTCAACAGCAGAAAAAAGGAAGCAGAGGAAATCATCAGTGAACTGGAAGACAGAAAACAGAAATTACCAAATCTGAACACTGGAGAGGACACAGATTGAAAAAAAATGAACAGATCCACATTTTCAGAGGAAAAAGTACTGAAATGTAAGTAGTCGTGAGCTGTAAGAGATTGTTAACCCCTGTAAGGCCGGTGGGCCTGGACTGAAAGAGATACGGTACTCTGAAGAGTTCTGGAAGAGTAGCTTCCATTTTCCATCTGCTGTATTCTCCTCACTGGCTGGCCAAACAAATTGTTCCATTACCTCAGCCTCCCTCTGTCTAGTAAACAAGGTGAAATAATAAATGAAAGATGAGTAAACAAAGCAAAAGAAGGTGAAAATACAATACCTTTCATCTTAAATATGGCATCTGAGTTTGACAGGGTTAAGTTCACCAAGAAGGAAAGAATCAATGGTATCCAGGAGGTATTGACACTAAAACCTGTAACTGTTGAGTAGTATCCCTCACTTTTATGCCTAACCATTACAAAATCCTCTCACAGCTACCACTTCTGTAGTAAATGCACAGATTTGATGGACGCAACTCTCACCAAATTTCCTTAACTACTTCATTGCCAGAACTTCCAGAGTTTCTTGTAAGGTGAAAAACTGAATCATTGAAGAGAGGAAAAGACTTTATATAATCTTTTTTCTCCAGAAGAAATTCATATGTTATAAAATATCAGACAGTATGAAACAAAGATAACACATCAAATGAATGAAAACTCCCCTTAGTCAGCATAGGGCTGAATAAGAGTGAATCTCCCAACATGTAGAAGCTTTGGGATGGGTGCCATCAGCATCAACAGAGAATCTAGGTGCATTTTATTCCATTCGCAGAAACAAGAATTCTTTTAGGAAGAACTCCTAGTACCTACCTTTGTTAGACTTTTCAGAGAGTGTATGTTTCATAAAGGGATGGGGAAGATTTGCCATACTTTTCACCTCTAAAAAAACTTCCTCCTCAAAATGGTGGTGTTAGCAAAACTCCCTGTGCAGAATGTTCGCTTCTCAACTCTAATTATAGATCTGAAATTCAGGCAAAATGAAAACAAAGAGATTCTGGAGGAGCCACAAGAAAGTGTCACAAGTTAATACAGTGTGATTTCCTTCTTGTTGGCAAGAGATCACTGAGCAAGGAGGAACTACATCAATTTCATACAGATTAACATGGACAGACCCAGGCTAAGGAAAATTGTGAGGCAGTATTTATGCTTGGGGGATCCTTGGCGTCTTCCAACTTCCTTGTATCCTTCTGGCACCAACAACATTCCCTATTGCACAGTGTTTCATTAACCTCTTATCCCTCCCTGTGGCAACTGCTTATTGTCTCTTACTCTGACTCCCACCAGGTGGAAACATCAGGTATCATCCAACATGGATCCCAATGCTTCTCTGGCCTATGAAAATTTCCCCATTGCCTCTCTCCTGCTCTGAAGTGCTGTGAGAGGGTAGCCAGCTTATTGGGAAAACCCAGATAAATGTGTTCTAATTAAACTGAAATACGCTTAATGTGTTGCTTCTCCCAGGGCATGTGTATATTAATAGAGTGCAGGTGCCTCATCTGCAGGAAACAAATTCCTGAGGATGAATTTCAGATTTCAGAGGCAGGACAATGTAAGAAATGTTTAGAGATAGCTCTTGACTCACGCTTAAAAGGCAACCATCTAATCATCTCATACCTTAAGACTAACACTGTCAAGACTATGAAAAAGGAATAGTAAGGAACACAAAATTGTGGCATTCTTCAGGAAAACCCTGAAGTGACAATTAGGAAAAAAAAATTTATAACTGGATGAAAAGTCAGGAATATATTTGTGTGATGTTTCACTCTATGGGAAAACAAAGTATTAAAACTATATATAATGTTAGAGCTGAAAAAAAAAAACCTTGCAATCAACTGATTTCACCTTCCTCATTTTATAGAGGAAGAAAATGAAGTCCAAAAACTCACTTAAGATTATACCATGAATCTATGTCAGAACCAGAATTAGAATTCAGTTTTCTGTGACTCCCAGTCCAATGCTTCTTATAGTATACTTCATTAGTATCCAAGTTCATGGATGGTCACTTGACATCTGTATCTGGTTAGATACCCAGAGGTGAGAGAAATAATTTTCCAATGCTTTTATCCATGTATCATACATCATCACATTTGAGTTCTGAATTTTTTACACTTCAATTCTTCCCTTTCTATTTACAGAGTTAAAAGAGGATCTCAAATCAATGTTGACAAAATTACCATCTGACAAAGATCAATCTGAAAGGAAGGACCTAGGGATAGGTAGATTCTTTAAAATGCATGTGCAGATGTGATGGCCAGCTGGCTTGAGGATGTCAATTTGGGGACTATCCCATTAAAAATGAGAAACTATACTGCAAGTCATATAAAAATAAAATTCATTCTTTCCACAGAGCTGGGAGAAAAAATATAATCCACTGCATCAAACAAAGATTGGTAACTCCCATCCTCCCCTTTGAACATTAGATCATGTCATCCTGCCTGGGAGAGCTCCAATTGCTGGAGATCTGTGGCTCCTCTGATCACTGGCTGCCAATTATCTCACAGCTGCTTCTTTTTCAAAGGAAACACCCCAAGCCCTGCTTTGTTTTTACATTAAGTGAAGCACAAAACACAATCCAATAGACAGCTCAAAAGGCCCTAAGGAAATAGTTCAAGCTTGGGATTACACAGTCAGCATTAATCTTCCCAGTCCCCCCATGTGGACAAAACTCTTTAGATGAGGTAGGAGAGCTGAACTATCATCTACAGTGTAGACTTAGAGCAATACAGGAATAGGATCAGCAAAATCCCCAAATCTACTTATTTACTCTTCACAATTGTCAGTGTCCTTGAAAGAAATCTCATTCATTCTCTCATCCATCTCACTGCCTTGCTGACTTTGTTAGAAAATTCCTATCTTTTATGAGGAATGTATCGACCTTATAACACCTTCCTCCAGTTTCCCATCATATAACTTGAAAACAAAAACTGTACCATCAGCTTGCTAGAGTTTAATAAGGGTGGCTATTTGGAGTTGTTTTTGTTGTTGTTGTTATTTTAACCAAAGTTTTCCACAGTTTTTATGATGAAAATATCTTAGTTCTTGTTCTCTGATGAATTCTTCCATCTCTTTATCCCCTCTCAAAATATTGTAATTTCTGGAGAAACCAACACAGAAGCCTGCTTCAAATTATAATCTATAGATAGTGTGACCAAATGTTCTAATTAGGCAACTCGATTTTTTCACAGTCACAGTTTTTATGTCTTTTCATATCCATGTATACAAATTAGTAGGTAGAATGACTGTATACTTTACCCAAACAATGATACTTGTTGAGTTCCAGGAGGTGCTATGAATAGTTCAGTGGGACAACAGACATGAACTGCAGGTGTCCTGGATGATTTAGAACATTTGGGACCATGTGCGGTGGCTCATGCCTGTAATCCCAGCACTTTGGGAGGCCAAGGTGGGGTGGATCAGTTGAGATCAGGAGTTCAAGACCAGCCAGGCCAACATGGTGAAACCCCATCTCTACCAAAAATACAAAAATTAGCTGAGCGTGGTGGTGGGCGCTAGTAATCCCAGCTACTTGGGAGGCTGAGGCAAGAGAATCACTTAAACCCAGGAGGCAGAGGTTGAAGTGAGATCATATCACTGCACTCAAAAAGAAAAAAAAACATAGTTGTCTAAGCTGATCTCTCTGTGTGTACAGAGGGAAGCATTGAACTTCTGATGCAATACATATTTCATTCTCTCTTTTCTCTGAAGATTTGAAAACTCCACTACCATGGGAAAATAACATTTCCCCATTTTCCTGCTGAAATCAACCTCGGAAGATTAATTTTAAAAAGTTATCTTCCAATCCCCTTTGAAATCAGGCACTAGACAAGGATGCCCTCTCTCACCATTCCTATTCAACATAGTATTAGAAGTTCTAGCCAGAGAAATCAGGCAAGAAAAAGAAATAAAGGGTATTCAACTAGAAAAGGAGGAAGTCAAACTGTCTCTATCTGCAGATGACGTAATTGAACATCTAGAAGACCCCATCATCTCAGTCCAAAATCTTCTCAAACTGATAAGCAACTTCAGCAAAGTCTCAGGATATAAAATCAATGTGCAGAAATCACAAGCATTTCTATACACCAATAACAGACTAAAAGAGAGTCAAATCAAGAGCAAACTCCCATTCACAATTGCTACAAAGAGAATAAAATATCTAGGAATACAACTAACAAGGAACATAAAGGACCTCTTCAAGGAGAACTACAAACCACTGCTCAATGAAAGAAGAGAGGACACAAACAGATGGAGAAACATTCCATGTTCATGGTTAGGAAGAATCAATATCATGAAAATGGCCATACTGCCCAAAGTAATCTATAGATTCAACACTATCCCCATCAAGCTACCAATGAGCTTCTTCACAGAACTGGAGAAAACCACTTTAAACTTCACATGGAATCACAAAAGACACTGCATAGCCAAGACAATCCTAAGAAAACAAACAAAGCTGGAGGCATCACACTGCTGGACTTCAAACTATACTACAAGGCTACAGTAATCAAAAGAGCATCGAACTGGTACCAAAACAGAGACATAGACCAATGGAACAGAACAGACTCCAGAAGAAACATCACACATCTACAACCATCTTTGACAAATCCAGCAAAAACAAGCAATGAGGAAAGGACTCCATGTTTAATAAATGGTGTTGGGAAAACTGGCTAGCAATGTGTAGAAAGCAGAAACTGGACTCCTACCTGTCACCTTACACTAAAATTAACTCCAAATGGATCAAAGATTTAAACATAAAGCCTAACATCATAAAAACACTAGAAGAAAATGTAGGCAAAACCATCCAGGACATAGGCATAGGCAAGGACTTCGTGACTAAAACACCAAAAGCAATGGCAATAAAAGCCAAGATAGACAAATGGGATCTAATTAAACTCCAGAGCTTCTGTAGAGCAAAAGAAACAGTCATTAGAGTGAATTGGCAACCAACAGAATGGGAAAAAATTTTTGCGATCTACCCATCTGACAAAGGGCTAATATCCAGAATCTACAAAGAACTAAAACAGATGTATAAGAAAAAAACAAACAAGCCCATTCAAAAGTGAGCAAAGGATATGAACAGACACTTTTTAAAAGAAGACATATATGAGGCCAACAAAGGTGAAAAAATGCTCACTATCACTGGTCATTAGAGAAATGCAAATCAAAACCACACTGAGATACCATCTCACTCCAGTTAGAATGGCGATCATTAAAAAATCTGGAAACAACAGATGCTGGAGAGGATGTGAGAAACAGGAACACTCTTACACAGCTGGTGGGAGTGTAAATTAGTTCAACCATTGTGGAAGACAGTGTGGCGATTTCTCAAGGATCTAGAAATAGAAATTCCATTTGACCCATTACTGGGTATATACCCAAAGAACTGTAAATCATTCTACTATAAACAGCCCTGTGTACGATAGCAAAGATCTGGAACCAACCCAAATGCCCATCAATGATAGACTGGACAAAGAAAATGCGGTACATATACACCATGGAATACTATGCAGCCATAAAAAACAATGAGTTTGTGTCCTTTGTAGGGATTTGGATGAATCTGGAAACCATCATTTTCAGCAAACTGACACAAGAACAGAAAACCAAACACTGCATGTTCTCACTCATAGGTGGGCGTTGAACAAGGAGAACACCTAGACTCAGGGAGAGGAACATCACACACTGGGGCAGTTGGGTAGCGGAGAGACAGTGGGGGGTGGGGAGGGTGGGGAGGGATAACATGGGAAGAAATGCTGGATATAGTATGCACCTAAAGTAAAATAAATAAATTTTAAAAATAAATAAATAAACAAAGTTTTCTTCCATTTACTTTTCAGACGGAGTCTTGCTCTGTCACCCAGGCATGATCTCAGCTCACTGTAGCCTCTGCCTCCCAGTTTCCAGCAATTCTCCTGCCTCAGCCTCTCAAGTAGCTCGAATTATAGGCATGTGTCACCACGCGTGGCTAATTTTTGTATTTTTTAGTAAAGATGGGGTTTCACCATGTTGGCCAGGCTGGTCTTGAACTTCTGACCTCAGATGATCCACCCACCTTGGCCTTCCAAAGTGCTGGGACTATAGGTGTGAGCCACCACAGCTGGGCTCTCCTACATTTGGTATTTCATCCAGACTTTATAATGTTGTTGGGTAACTCATTATTTACAATACAGTCCTCCTAAGCCCATACTCTATGTGACGACTAAAGTGAGGATCTACTTGTTTAATCAGTGAAGTCTCTGCCTCTTGTATACTGCTTCTTTTCTTATTAAAATTAAGAGAAAATAAGAGGACAAAGCTGATATCAGTCAGTTGAGTGGCTGAGTCAGCCAACAAGGGATTGGCACAAGAATCCTTTCAGCTCTGGCACCCTGCCATTCGTTTGTGAAAGGTCGCTGGATGTCATCTCCTCATTGAAATCAATGCAGATGGCTTAACACAAATATTGACAAAATGGGGCAAAAAACCTTAGGGGATTTGAGGCATAAATAATACGCTGTTAAAAACCCTCCTTTTAAAATTGCATTAAGTGCAAAGAATAAAATGAATCAGGAAGAAACGGCACCAATTATCTTTCATTGAGTGTACCTGGAACAAGAAAAAGTCTTGGCACAAAAAGTATATATAATTAAAATACCTTAACAATTCGAGCAGGAAAGCTTTGTTTAAAGAAGGTGCTATTTTGTGCTAGTCACCAGGGGTTTGCTCTCAGTGTTCATTTTTATCAATTTTTATTTCTACAAATTTAAATCAAAGTCCAATTGCATGAGTGTTGAAAGGTCATGTCCTTTTATCTGTCCATTTTTAAAAACTTTTAAAAGCAAAATATAAGGGAGAAGGCAGTTATTTTTAAAATTACTTTTTTATAATACCCAACTAATCTTCAGGGACAATTCCAACATTGTTCTTTTGAGAACAGCTTGTGATGTAGTGAAAAGAGCCTGAGAGAAGTTCTAGTCGCCCTCTTGTCCCCCATTAACTAGGTTGTAAGGAGTGGGATAATAAGAATTGTGGAGAGTGGTGAGTAAATTTTGAAACATTAACCTCTCTGGGCTTAGCTTTCTTATCTGTAAAATACGCAAGCATACTAGATGTCTCCGAGAATACCTCCAGGACATGAAGCTACACATTTCATAAAAAAGCAAGCAGTATACATGCTGTTTCTCACACATCAAAAGTCAGCCCAAACTAAAAGTCACCCTGTAGTTCACTGTCTCTGCATGGAGGGATTACTGGTTCTCTCAATTTGGAGATTTAACCATCCAGGCTGACTTTGTTACAGCAAATGAGGTGGCAAGCACTCCTTGGCCAGAAAGGCTGTAAAAAGTCAGGCATTCTATGCACTTGCCTCCTGCTTGTAAACAGCTATAAAAGGGTTGTTATCCAGTAATGAAGCCAGGTCCTCCCTAAGGGCTCCCTCATGAGTAGCCAATCAATACCAGAGCTTTCTCTCTTACTCGGTGATATTTGTGATAGTAACTGAGAGACTGGGTGCAGAAAGTTTGGGCCTAATTATTAATCACCCAGTTTTCTTCTCTGACTTCTGAACTAAGAAAAGACAGAGGAAAGAGGGAAGACTAGCATGTCGGCTTTGTTACTGGTAAAGTAATGGAGAAGGCAGCTTGGATCTGCAGCCACAACTGAGCTTTGAATACTTTTTCCTGTGCACTGAATTCCCAATGCCAAACTTCAGAGACACAGTATCCCAGGTGAGCACACTGCAAGCAAGGGGCAGAAAGGTGTATCTGAAAGAGAGAAGGAAGTTGAGGCCCCAGGTTCACACTCATTCCCTGACCTCACAACTTTGATCAGCTCTCTTGAGGAGGAGTGAGTAGAGGAAAGGCCAGATGTTACCATCCCATGATTTTTCCCTCTTGGAGTCAAGTGTAAATTGACTTCTTGTAAATTCCCCAAGGATGTCTCCATTTCGTTCACTGCTCAATCCCAGGTCTATAGATTTCAATAGATACCCAGTAAAGAATGAATGAATATAAACAGGAGAACTAGGGAATACAGTTTTCCCTAACAGTAAGAGGTTTTTTGATATTATTTCTACAGCACAACTGGCTACCCAAGGGTGCCTTGGTGCCTAAAATGGGTAAGCAGTCAAGGCATCCAAGACTCATGGAGTCTTAGAGAGACTGTACAGAGAAGCTCCATGGATTCCAAGGCATTAAAGTGGATTCTTGTTCAGGATTAGGCAGAGGATGGCAAGTTACAAATCTTTTGAACTCTAGTTTTAGCATCTACAAAAAATAGCCCCTTCTAATATTATTCTCTTTAGAGTTTAGATCACAAAGACAGAAAATAGATGTTGGCAGAATAGCATATATTTCCAGTCAGTTCTAAGGCCCAGATCCTCTAAAATTCAGATGTTGTTCTATTTATTGTTATTGCCAATACTTTGCTATACCCATATATCCTGTTTCTCCAGAGATATAAACCGACTGGACAAGTTCCTGTAATTCCACAATAATTGCTAATTCACTTCTATATTACAAATGCTTTGCACTAGGTTGGGGAAGAAAAAGATTTCCAGTTTAAAATTAGGATCTTATTTTTGAAAGTAATGGTATTAAAGTCAATTCTTCATATCAAAATACAGTTAAAAGTAAGTTTGGATTAAATCAGCAGTATTTTTACTTGGAATAGACATTGGAACTATGACAGCATCTTTGCGAAGATCTAAATATTATTATTAAATTTCAATTCTGTTCTTTACTGTATCTCTGAATCATAGACATGCTGAATGCAGACCTCAATTTAAGTCTTCTCATTTTTCTTTTTAAAATTGGGTACCAAATAGATATTCTCCAAGGAATGCTCAGCATATTCATTTTACCTTCTCTCTTGGTAATTTCACATGCAAAAAGATGGACCATTTGCTAGGCTTGAAGAACATAATAACGAAACTACAAGTTAGAAGCAGGGATGGGTCAGATATATTTTACTTTCTAATGGCTGTGAGAGCTATACAAAAAGGATAAGTCTACAGAGATGGATTCTGAGGCTCATAAGGAACATAAACATATAATAATGTCCTCCACGTCAATATTCTAAATAGGATAGGAGACATCTTGGTGACTTTTGTGACCCAGAAAATAACTCCCCTCAAAACATTCTGCAAATGCTGGCAGCATCACGGGCTCAGATCTTTTTCCATTACACTAGACCAGTGGTTCTCAACCAGATTTTGAAATTTTGAGTCCCTCTCTTTCCAGGGAACATTTGCCAATATCTGAGACATGTTTGGTTGTCACAGCCAGGAGAGATATCTATGTGCTATTGGCATCTAGTGGATAGAGGCCGGGTATGCTGCTAAACATCCTACAATGCAGAGGACAGTTCCCTACAATAAAGAATTATCTATCCCAAAATGTCAAAGCTTCCATGGTTTGGAAAGTCTGCACTAGACTCTGTATTAGGAAGTCTTCTGGACTTGTGCTGCGGGATGACTAGGGGAAGAATTGTAGGGGGGATGAGTCTTCAGCTGAGCTTTAACAAGATGGGTATGATTTGGGTCATGGAGGGGAATTCCAGGAGAGAATTTTAATGGCAAAAAGGGCTGTAAACCAACACATGCATGGAATGTTGAGGAAAAAATGATCAAGCCGGCTTATCCAAAAGCAGACCATATTGGTGTATGATGAAATATAAACCAGTGAAGATTTCGGAGAACTTTACACATGAGTTTTAGACTTACATTTAGCACCACATAATTGACAATTTTAGAGCAGGAAATTAATAAATATTTTACCCACTTTTTTTTTCCAAGCAGAGTTTTTTTCTAGTTGTCCAGTTTGGAGTGCAATTGCGTGATCTTGGCTTACCGCAACCAGTCTCCCAGTTTCAAGTGATTCTCCTGCCTCAGCTTCCCAAGTAGCTGGGATTACAGGCATGCGCCACCATGCCCAGCTAATTTTTGCATTTCTAGTAGAGACAGGGTTTCTCCATGTTGGTCAGACTGGTCTCAAACTCTCAACCTCAGCTGATCCACCCACCTTGGCCTCCCAAACTGCTGGGATTACCCTTTACTCGCTTTTGAAATGTAGCTGCCTTGATCTCATCACGGTAGTCTCATTTTATATGGTCCAGACTAGAGATGAAAAGGTAGGAGATAAAGAGGCCATAATAATAGGTTATCATAATACAAACATAGGAGCCAAAATTACAATAATTATGGTCAGAAAGAAAGAAAGAAAAAGAAAAGAGAAGGGAAGGGAAGGAGAAAAGAAGATATCACAAAGGATAAAAGATCTGGCTATTTCTCAGAAAGTCTGTTGATGGTAAATGAAGGAACTTGCAGGTGGGAGGCTGGGACTCAAAGACCCAGGAACATACTGAAGGAGAAGGTCTAGGCAGAAAGTGAGTCAAGGACCAGACTGGTGATAAAGGCCAAAGAAAGGCAATGAATAAAAATTCAGAGTAAAGCAGCATCAAGTCACATACTAACCAGGCAAACAGCAATAAATTATTATCTCCCAAGATCACATGCACCTTCCTTCTTCTGATCCTTTTCTTATGAGAATTCACACCCCTAATACTCTCCCCTCTGTTTCCACTCCCCAAGTAAGACCCATCTTGGAAGCCCAGCTGAAAATGTGTCTTCCTTATCAATTTGTATCTTTTTGTTACCACACAGCAAGAATATAGAAGATCACCCAATATTCAGTCTAGAATGGTTCAAAAATGGCTCAGTATAG